TGTTTGTGATGACTAGCTTGTTCTCTTCACAAAACTCTATTAGCCTTTGCTCCGCTTCGTTTTGAACTCCAAGGCCAAAGTTACCTGTTGTTTCTTTTATCTCTCGACTCCCTACTTTAGCATTCCAATCCCCTAGAATGAGAAGAACATCTTTCTTTGGTGTCAGTTCTATAAGGTGTTGTAATTCTTCATAGATTTGGTCAATTTCAGCCTCTTCAGCATCGGTGGTTGGTGCATAAACTGGATTATTGTGATGTTGAAAGGTCTGCTTTGGATTCGTATCAAAATCATTCTCTCATTTTTGAGATTGTATCCCATTACAGCTTTCCCCCCGGTTTTGTATAGGCTCTAAAGTTATAGAAATTAATCCTGTGTTCCACAGGAAACTTGTGGTGCAGCCAAAACCTGGGTTCAATCCCATGTAGCGATCTTGAGGTTCACTCAGCCTTCCATCTGTCTGAGGCTGGTAAACTGAGTACCCAGCTCATACACAGCATAGTCTCTGGCGCTCTCTAGTGGCCAGTTCTTGTAATGCATGTGAAAATAATTTGCTTCTGTGTTTTTTTTCCTTTTACCATGTTATACATATAGTGTTCACTATTATTCATGGTTTTCAGTATCTGGGGGGACTTGAAACCAATCTGCAACGGATATGGGGGTCATTCTGTACACATACATTTTTTTCCCTTTTACCATGCTATACATATAGTGTTCACTATTTATTCATGGTTTTCAGTATCCGGGGGGACTTGAAACCAATCTGCAGCGGATATGGGGGTCATTCTGTATACATACATTGGTCCAACTGATACTTTAATTCTAATTGCATTCTAATTGTAAAATATAAACTTTCTCATAACATTTCATGGTAGATTTTACACAGAGTAGATTTTCCAATAATAGCTTTCCTGGTCAACTACAGGACCAGGAAAGATCACCTTCACACAACCAGGTCAAGGAAATATGAGCAGGCTACCTAATAAAATAATGAGCAGGTTACCTAATTAAATACTTTGTGGCTAGTAATTCCTGTAGAGCTTTCCTCCAAGGCTAATACAAAGTCCTTAATCCATAAACAAATAACATAAATAAGTAGTAAATATAAAATTACCAAAAAACTACAGGAAAACCTGAGGATCAGAAAACTGGAGCAGATGTAATTGGTGTTATACACAAATCTCAAAATATCTTTCACAGGATATAAAATATATAAACTTTATAGAAAATATCCCCACAGTAAAAACTTACTTCTTTATGTACCTCTTACAGTGGTTTCTTTAAGATCCACTCCATATCTCGCCATTGTCCGGATGACATCACTCTGTCCAGACATGCAAGTTGTATAGAGGAGACTTCTCCCTACAACATCCGTTACTTTCAGGAACTCCGTAGCTTTATCATTATCAGGATCCTCCGAGTCCTCAAAAATGTGTTGTACCTCCTCCGTATCTCCAATTAAAGCAGCTTTCAGCAGGGGATTAAAATCTGCTGAGTCCTCTTGAAGCTCCAAATCCTTGTTCTCACTTTCTTCCACTAAATCTACTGCCCCTTTTCCTAGTTCCATTTCCTCAGGATTAGCCTGAGAAAATAAAAGGAAGAAATCTCGTTAAGCCCATAGAGAATTATTATGGACGGAACATCATAATTTTTGTCTACAAAAATGCCATACATAATTTAGCTAAGATAACACATATATAAGTTTACATTCTTTTTGGAGTATTGTAACACAGAACTACTGTAGCTGCCTTTGAGAAACATTCTTAAATGTCAGCTGATTCAGAATGCTGAAGTCAGATTAGTGACTTCAGCTGGATATAGGGAAGGTGTTATAACAACTTCATTGGCTATTGCTCCATTTTTGGCCACAATTCACAGTGCTGGTTGCAAGCCCAATATGAATAAGAATCAGGGTATTTGAAAGAATCATAGAATAATAGAGTTGGAAGGGCTCTATAAGGTCATAGAGTCCAATCCCATGCTCAATGCAGGAATATAATCAAAGAAGATCTGACAGATGGTTGTTCAAATTTTGCTTGAATGCTTCCAGTGCTTGAGAGCCCACCACTTCCCCAGGTAATTTGTCCCATTGGTAGATTGCTCTAACTGCTCTTATGCCAATTTTCCTGATATTCAGCCTAAATCTTGCTTCCTGTATCTTGAGCCCATTACTATATTACATGTCCTACACTCTTGGATAATTGAGAATAGATCCTACCTCTCCTCCCTGTGACAATCTAGTATTTGAAGAGTGCTATCCTACTTCCCCTCAGTCTTTTTTCTCAAGGCTAAACACGCCCAGTTCTTTCCATTTTTCTTCACTAACCTTTGTTTCTCATCCTCTGATCATCCTTATTCCCTCCTATGAACTTGTTAAATTTTGTTGTCAAACTTCTTAAAGTGCAGTATCCAGAACTAGACACAGTACTCAAGATGAGGCATAACCAGTGCTGAATAGACGGGGGCTAGTACCTCAAAGGATTTGGAGACTATACTTCTCTTAACGCAGCCTAAAATAGCCTTCAGCTTTTTTGCAGCAACAATTCAAAGATCGTTGTTGTGGGTTTTTCAGGCTCTTTGGCCGTGTTCCGAAGGTTGTTCTTCCTGACATTTCGCCAGTCTCCGTGGTTGGCATCTTCAGAGGACTGAACTCTCTCCATGCTGTTTGTTAGATAGTATTTATAGCTGTGGGAAGTTTTTGTCCTTTTCAGGAGACAGGGTGATCAGTGTGTTTTTGTTGTGATAAGGGGGGGAGAGATTATCTGTCACTGTGATTGATGGGTGTCGTTAGCTGGTCTTTTTTGTGCAATGATCCCTGGTCCTTGTGGCTGGGTAGAGTTTGCTGATCTTTTGCAGGCTGTATTTTTCAGTATTGGGAGCAAGGCTGCATTTTGTTTTAGGCCTTCTTTTTTGTTGAAGTTCTGTTGATGTTTATGGATTTCAATGGCTTCCCTTTGCAGTCTAACATAATGATTGCTGGTGTTGTCCAGTACTTCAGTATTTTGAAATAGAATTTCATGTCCAGTTTGTTTTAGGGCATGTTCAGCTACTGCTGATTTTTCCGGTTGTTTTAGTCTGCAGTGTCTCTCATGTTCTTTGATTCTGGTGCGAATGCTGTGCTTTGTGGTTCCAATATATACCTGTCCACAGCTGCAAGGTATCCGGTATACTCCTGGAGTGATGAGGGGCTATAAATACAGCTATAAATACTCAACTATCCTACAAACAGCATGGACAGAGTTCCTACTCCAGTCCTCTGAAGATGCCGGCCACAGAGACTGGCGAAACGTCAGGAAGAACAACCTTCAGAACACAGCCAAAGAGCCCGAAAAACCCACAACAACCATCGGATCCCAGCCGTGAAAGCCTTAGAAAACACAAATTCAAAGATCCTTCTCACTTGTATTACTGAGCCAAGTATCCCTTCTCTTGTTGCTATGTATTTGTTTCCCCCCCCCCTAGATTATTCCTTTTAAATTTCATTCTGTTGTCTGAAGGAAGCAGGGCCTGGAGAGCTGGAATGTAGGGGAAAAGAAAGTGCAACAGAAGGATGAGGGTGTGTTTGGGCTATAGGGCTGTAACTGAAGAAAAGCTGGTGTTGAAATCTGTTTCTGTCAAAGTTGTTACTGTGTAATACTTTGTAATGAAGAGAATATTATTCTTCATTCTTTAACCACTTGGTCTAGAATGATTAATGGCTGGAATGAAGCCCTTTAAAGGAAGGTTATTTTTTAAAAAGTAACAATCCTGGGTAGGGACCAGTCATATATTTGTTGGCAGCGAGGTCGGATACAAAAATCCAGTGGGGATTCTGGAGATCCAGGGTAGGTCTTGGAAAATCCTGAGTGGGGGATTTAGAGACCTAGTAGCAAGTTGAATTAGGAGTTAAGCCTGAAAAAAGAATGAGTTATCTTAGATCTCAGATATGTGGGGACTTGCCAGAAATTTATGGAGGAGTGAGATTGCAGAAGGCCCGGGATTATGAATTATGTAAAAACAGGGTAAAACAGAGGTTTGGATTAGAATTATGAATTATGTAAAAGCAGGGTAAAAAAGAGGTTTGGATTAACTGCTGCACATCATAGGAGGGAATTGAGAAATTTAAGGAAGAAACATGATGAAATTTATACTCAGTTAGGCTGTCGTCTGGATTATTTACTGGCTGGTTGGATTGGTCAGGTGTTAAAAATAGGGAAGATAAGAGACAATTGGGCTAGAACAATTTTATAATACAGTATAATACCCCAGGAATATAGATGGCATATACAAGAACATCAACTAAAACCCATTCCTGAGTGGAATTAATTGACAAATTAGTAACTTTCAGAGAGGTAACAAGACCTCATTACTGTATATTGAGAAGAGAAATGATATAAAGTGAACAGGGGGTAGAACCAAGGTGTCTGAAGGCTGGAAATTAAAAACAGCACAGATTGGAAAGGAAAAATCTCCTCAGCAGAATGGAGGTGTGGCCAAGGAAAAAGCCTGATAAAGGGGAAATAGGAGATAAAATCTGTTTTATAAGTGGTAAAGGAGGAGATTTCCAAGAGTCCTACCCAGAGTTATTAGAAAGAAAATGTATACAGAGACACAAATTTATTGTCTCAAAATTTTTGAACCCAGAGATAAACATACATCAAAATACAGTGGTGCCTCGCTAGACGATGATAATCCATTCCACTGAAGTCACTTTTTACCCAAATCATTGTCTAGCTAGCGAAAAGCATTTCCCCATTGGAATGCATTGAAATCTGTTTAATGCGTTCCAAAGGGGAAGAATTGTTGTTGTCTAGCGAAGATCGTCCATAGGTACGCAACTGATCAGCTGTATAAATCACTGTCTTGCGAAGCTTAGGTCACGAAAACACCTGTTTTGCGAGTGCGGAGGAAGATGTAAAAATTGTTGTGTAGCGAAAATCGGTATGCGAAGCAGGGACCAAACATTGTCCAGCAAAATTCTCCCATAGGAATCACTGTTTTGCGAATCGCTATAGTGATCGCAAAAAGTCAATGTCTAGCGAAAAAACTGTCATGCAGGGTAACTGTCTAGCGAGGCACCACTGTAAACATAGATCAAGAAATGGAGACAGGCATGTCAGAGTTGAAGGAGGCTGGGCCAAGTCAGGAAATAAAGCATTGTTTATTTATTATGATAAATATAGAGTTGGAGGGAAAATATGGAGAGAGAATTTGAATTCAGTATAAAGTTGTGTGGAATGTAAGAGATATAAGTTAACAAATGTGTATGAGTCTCTCTGATGTGATTCCTAGGGAAAATATTTTAACTCATGAAAGCTTTCTGGTAAAAGGATTACACCAGCATTTCCTCTATCTGTGGCCAATGTAAATATTCAATATGAGAACTGGTTAGGGAAATGGAAGGTAGCTGTGCATGATGATATCCTGGCCCCATGCCTAATCAAAAATGAATTGGTTAGGAAGATAAAGAATGTGTGTTTAATGACCCGATCTCAGGGGCAAATACAACCCTTGGTGCAGTCTGAGTCCGGAATTGAGAAGCCTAAAAAGAAAAACAGCTTATGAAATTCGCCATGGTAAAATTCCATCAGTAAGTCATTTAAGAGTTTTTCGAAGTCAAACTTATGGTTATATATAAAAATAGAAAAGGCATAAGTTAGATTCCAGGGCAGAACAAACTATATTAATTGGTTATTAGCCAAACAGAAAAAGGTACAGAGTGATGAATTAATAATTTGAGAAATCAGTATTAAATATGTACAGTATTCACTTTACCAACCTCAGAAGGCTGAGTCAACGTTAAGCCACCTACCTGGGATTGAACCTGTGTAGTGAGCACAGTTTGGGCTGCGGTACAGCAGTTTAGCCACTGCGCCACAAGGCATCTAAAAGAGGAACTCTAGTTGATAACGCTAATGGAAAAGATCAGTATAACACATCATTCATAGATATAAATGTACCAGGGTATTCAAAATCTGAATCAGACAGAGGTGAGGACAGTGATGAAATACAAAGGACTGTACAAGCAGCACAACAGAAGAAGGAAAAAGAGCTTCAGAGGGTGCCAATGTTGATCTGGAAAGGCCCCTTGAGCCACAAGAGTTTCCAGAATTCCATGTCAGATGCTCATCTCAGCCTAATATTGGCAAAGCTCCACTTGGGAGGAGACTACTTTCCATGACAAAGTCGGCAGTCACTGAAAAGGAGGAGAAAACTGTATTAGAGGTAAAGTCCCCTTCAAGAACATCTACAACAGGTGCTAATGCATAGCCTTTGAATGACAGTGCAAGCAACTCACATTCAAAAGTTTATGAGAAGAACTTAGAAGAAATGGGGAAGGAGAAGCAGTAGTTAAAACAAAAGCAGGAAAGAAAGCACCGGAGGAACTAAAGACTACGCCACTTGCTGTGGTCAAAATTGCAGAATCAGCAGCTTCAGTGACTGCAAATCCAGAATCTCCATTGACATCTGGGAAAACTCACCTAATTACAAAGAAACTATTGATGAGCTCTCAGGAAGCAGTGCCAGAGAATGTAATATCAGAAAAGCTGAGTCTCGGCCTATTCAAGATCCAGATTGCAAGAGATAAAAGAACTGTCTACAACAAGCTCCAGATTTCATCAACTAAGAGTACTAGAGTTTGTTTGCAAGTTGGAGAAAGGACTTCAGCAAGGTCCGGATGATGAATGACTCTTCAGAAGAAGAAGAAATGGACATTATGTATATATTATTTAATTTGGAAAAATATAATTAATTGCTAATGGTCATGAACAGTACTGTAATATAATTAATTAATAAGAATAAGTTATTGCTGAATGGTTTGGAACTTAAATATGCATATAAATTTGCCATACTAATGCAAACTAATTTTATTAAAGGTAAATATGTGGAAAGGGATGCATTAGAAAAAGGTAACGATAAAATTGAAAGAAATGTATTGAAATGCAATGATAGCTAATCCTAAACATAGAACCGAAGTTAGTAAGTTAACTAAATATTTATTATGTGATTAGAAAAATGTGTATGTTAAGTATGTTTATAGACGTTACAAAAACTAATAGTTAAAGATATATGAAATACATAATAAATTTGAAATGTATTTAAATATATGCTCTGGAGAAAAACTGATGTTGAAATCTGTTTTCCTCTAAGTTGTTATTTTTATAATACAGAGAATATTATTTTTCATTCTTCATCTGCTTGGTCCAGTATGGTTAATAGCTGGAGTCAAGCCCTTTAAAAAGAAGGTTATTTTTAAAAAGTGACAAGCCTGGGTAAGGGCTGGTTGTGACTTTTGCTTAGGTGATTATGGGAATCGTTATCTAAAGCAGTGGTTCTTAACCTTTTTGAAAGAAACGCCCCCTTGAGCCATTGAGGAAGTTATCATCGCCCCCCTCCCCGCGGTGATGATTTATTTATTTGTTTGTTTGTTTGTTTGTTTATTTATTTATTTGTGACACTTAAATCCAATGACCCCTGAAAACAAAAGTCAATTCCAAGAAAATGAAATGCCCCCAAAAAGTAACATTTAATGATTTAGTTGCAAGCGAATTTTAAGACGCAAAAAGAAATATAAAAAGGGCATTAAAACAAACCACAATACAGGAACTAAAAATTTCAAGACAAAAACTCTGAAACTAAATTAAGATTGGAGGCAAATATATATTCATGCACACTGTAAAAAGGCTGCAGCCATCTTAGCAGGTTTGGCTTGCTCCAGCACCCCCCTACCGCCCCCCTTCTGCTCCAGCGCCCCCACGCTGCCCCTTTTCGTTCTACCACCCCCCTGAAAAATGAAATTGCCCCCTGGGGGGCATTATCGCCCACGTTAAGAACCACTGATCTAAAGGATTATGGGAATTGTAGTCCTGTTACAGAGAAGTTAACTACTGGAAACATGAAATTTTGTCAAGTTACACAGCAACTGGCCATGCTTGCTGGAACCAGTTCTGGGTATTGTGGCCTTAAAACAGTAAGGTTTTACCACTTGAGTATTGGGGCAGGGGGAGAAAACATATCCAGAATGAAAAATAATATTGGGACTCAGGAAGACGAGGAAGGGTGGAATCAATGGGCCTCTAATCCAGTTCCAAGGTGAAAAAAAAAAGACCAGTGTGTAAGAAAGAGTACGATCGCTGTGGAACTCCTTTCCACAGGATGTGGTGATGACATCTGGCCTAGATGCCTTTAAAAGGGGATTGGGCAATTCCTGGAGGAAAAGTCCATCACTGGTTAGAAGCCCTGACAGGGATCTACAATCTCCAGGCTTCAAAGGGAGGTACCTCCAAATGCCAGGTGCAGGGGAGGAGTATCAGGAGACAGGGATCTAGTTGTCTCGTGTCCTCCCAGAGGCATTTGGTGGGGCCACTGTGAGATACTGGGAGCTGGACTAGATGGGCCCTTGGCCTGATCCAGCAGGGCTCTTCTTACGTTCTTATGTAAGAAAGGAAGAAGGTTGGAAAGGCACTGGAATGAGAATTTTAACCCAGGCAAAGCTAGGCACATTCGTTAAATGTATAATAAGATGCATGCCTAGAAGCTACCCTTCTTACGAGAAAAAAAAAATCTGTAAAGTAAAACAGGACTGAGCAGCTGCAAAATGGTTTCAAATCGGAGCACGCTCAGTCTGGGCCGCACCAAGAAAAAAAGACAAAAGGAGCAACGGAAAAACAAGGATGGCAAACACATGAAAAACTGGCAAAAGTGATATTCTGTGAACGAGGCATGGCGGCGACAACTGATTCGTACCACAACGATTGAGGCTACGGCTCACACAACCACCCACGGAGTGAATGAATACTCTATCGTAGCCCTATTCCCAGGATAGACTGAGATTCTTTTAAAAAAAACACTTCTTCCTGTACTCAGCCCACTCAAGAATCAAGATAAAACTTCTCCTGACCTGCTCCATGGGTTTTTTTCAGCTGCCCCACGGAGGCGCCTCCCGTCGCCATAGCAACGCATCAGCCGCCGGACTGCAGCCGGAACGTTTGCGCGGGTCTCCGGGGTTTCTGCAGGGAAGGGAACAGGAGGCGCTTTGCTTCCGGTGGGCGGCGAATACGTTCGTGGGCGGGGTCTCGGCCACTCGCCGCTTCCGGATCCAGTAGGAGCTGTGAGGGGGGGGGTCGGCCTTTGCGGTAGTAGAAGTCGGGGGGTGGGAAGGAGCCTGCCTTCATTCGTTCCACCCCTTATGAGTGACAGAGGGGGTCCTTGTCGGGACAGTTGACGGGCTCGCCCGCCCTCGTTGTGGAGGCGTCCGTAGAACAAGCTCCCCCATCCTAGCTGGGAGGTCAGTTTACAGGGAACATTTGGGTGGCGAAGAACTGGCTGGGGAGGGGAGGCGAGGGGGAATGAAGCAGGATACAGGATGAACCGTGGAAAATGGGTGTGGGTGTGGGTGTGGGGGGAGCGGGACCTTGGAGGCCATTTGGAGAGCGTTAGGTGAGACGAGATCAGGGGCATCAGACCAGAGGTCTCGTCCAGCAGCGGCTCCCCAGAGGCTCCCAAAATGCCAGAAGCAGGGCAGAAAAGGCGGTAGCCACCACTGCGTTCCCCTTTCGGCAGCTTTTATTCTGGCAGCTGCCTGCGAATATGGGTTTTGTTTTAATCTGTTTAATGGCTACCGGTGATTCTGGCCTGAAACGTACCTAAAAATAGCCATTATATTTCCGATGTATTTAGAGATGTGCCATAGGTGTATCAGCAACCGTTGACTAATGGCTTAAACGTTAAGCTCCTGGGTTGGGGATTTCGAAGAAGTGGTGGGTAGTTGGAAAAGATATGTAAGCTTTGTGTGCTTGATGGAGGAGGAGATTACTGTGTGAATAATTTTTGGGGAAGGAAGCACTAGCTGCCATGGGAGGCTTGAAGTGAAGTCGGGGATCAGACAGCCTTCAGCCGTGCAGTCATTTGTGGTTTGCCCTATCCTGATAATTGTCCACTTTCTCTTTGATGATTTGCACTGCAGTCCTTTATATGTATGTTCAAATATAAACTCCTTTGAGTCCAGTGGAGCCCAGAGCCAGCCTTAGGGCTGGAGCCTTGAATGGCTTGTGGATTCATTTGATTCTTCAAAAAGCTGGGGGAGCCTGGCCTGAAACTAGAAAATAGGGAAAGATTATACCTTTATTAGACCACTAAAAATGTATTCTTCAATGTAAATCTTCCAGTGTAAATCTTCAGATATACTCTTCAGGTCAGGGATTGGCAACTTTAGTGGCTCTGAGCCATACGGATGCTTCCAAAGGCCAAACACAGGGCTAAAAAAAATGAAAGCAACAGTGAGCAGAAATTCTTGTGTTGAAAAATGATATATTTATGTTAATTGGTAGACCTAAAATATAGCTCTTGGAAACTTCCAGGAACTGGAATTGCTGGGGTTTTTTGTTTGTTTTGGCTGGGAAATATTTCTGGAGGGGGGTGAGGTTGTGGAAAAACAGCTTTGGGGTCCTGAGCTGAACTTTGCCCACTTTCGTGGATGGTGATAATGTGATCCTGGAGTTTTCACCTGATTGGATATACAGTACGGTATTGGGCAGGGTGGATGGTAATTGAATTTGAAGAATAGTTTTATGCTGCCCTGCACTACTGTGTGTATAAACTACATTTTAAAACCCCTGTTTTGTCCATATAAAACTTTATTTCAGTGCTGATAGAAGCACAGGTACTTTATTTTGAAGGATGGTATTTCTAACACAGGCTAGACAAAATAGTTCAGATTAGTAGGTGTTATAATTTTTAGGCATCTATGTGGTTACTTCTCAGGATTTTTTCCAATTCTGCTACTTTCAGTGGATAAAAACAGTGGAAGAAATGGATTTTTGGTTATTCAGGCCTTCTTAGCTTCATCACAGGACAAGAGACTAATTATGTTTCTTTAGAGTAAAATGTTGACAACTAGAGAATTTGAAAATAATGGCTGTCTGACCTTCCTCCAGCCAAAACCACCTCTACAGAAAATAGACTGTGGTAGTTCCTGATGAGTCAAGGCTCATTTGGATGCTCTGTTCTGTGTAGTTTGACTTTGTAAATGCTTAAAACATTTACAGATGGCTTTGCATCCAGGCAGTGTAGGGGACTATTCAGTATGACTTCTCTGCATTACTCCGAAGTTTAGTATTTATCTGATTCCTGTATGCCTATATATAGGATCCAGCTTTTCACTCTGAGAACAGGCATCTGTGAGGGTTCAATTCTGGGCTCCTTTCTCACTTCAAAGAAATCAAGAGATTTTTGCTGTTTTGAAACAGGTGAAATATTTATTGGAGTGTTTAACAAATAACCAGCGTCCATAACAGGATTCCATCACCTTGCTCCTTCCGACAATGGGTCTTGAAGGGGTTTCCAATTATTGTTCAAGAAGGGGTTTCTCTCACCAGAATTCCAGGGACCCGGCCAGTCTGTAAAGATGTTGGTGGTTATAGCCTGTCCCGCTTCACCTTCCAACAAGGACACGGTCTCATCATCCCGGCCATCATTCCACACGGGACATCCTTCTGATCTAGGATTCTTCCTGGGTCCTGCCTGAATCCCTTCCTCCTCATTTTGCTTATCCTCCATTCCTAGCTCTCTCTCCTTCCTCTCCCTCCCCTTTCCTTTCCTTCTCTAAGTTTCCTTCTCCACTCTTTAGCCTCTGCCTCTCCCCAATAAGACAGTCTGGGGAAAATCTCCCTTCTTTTCCTCTAATCAGTCTCTTCCTTGGGCACTCTCAGCCTCTCCCAAGCTCTGGCCCATGGGTCTTCCATCCAAACCCACTCCCAACCTGGCGGCAATTGTTCTTCCCTCCTTTTTATCTCTGCTGTTCCCGCCTCTATCTCCACCCTCTTCTTCCGCTCCTTTCCCGCCCTGGGGAATGAGGACAGATAAATGAATTTGAAGGTTAATGAAGAGGTCATGATTTGGTATGTGTCATGTGTTTGGGAGAAATTGATATGATAGTTTAGGAAAATTTGTTAGAATGAGTTTTAGAATTATTTGGAAGAGACTTTGGAAGAGTTCCCCTTTGTGAAATGAGTGCTTTATTTAGAGTGACTAATTATTTTTTTATTTTTAAATTAACAGCTTAGGATAGGTATGGGGTACAGAAGGCAAAGGGGGACATGGGGGAAAAAGGGGGGGAGAACACAAAATGTACTGACATGCAATCTATTCATGTTGCAATATTAAATCGACTTTCCGCTTTTCTAGAATTTGATTGCCCTCCATGTTTTAACTTACATTTACAACTTAGTTTAAATCTATCTGGCGACTCAAGCCATTTATGTAATAAATCCCATCATTCAGTTGGCTTTTGTATTGGACAGTCTTTTAACACTTCTGATAAAATATCCATTTCTGCCACTTCCCATATCTTCTCAATAAGTTCCTCTTGTTTCGGTATCAACGATTTCTTCCAATTCTTGGCATAAAGAATTCTGGCTGCAGTGACTATATAACTAAGTAATTCTTTGTCTTATCTATATTGTCTGGTATAGTACTCAGTAGAAACAGTTCAGGGGTTAGTGGAACATTACAAAGCAATATTTTTTGTAATAGAGTGACTAGTGTTGAGGTCTGAGGACTGTTTTTGTGCAGTTGTATGGATAAAGAACCCAACTACTACCTTTTGCTTTGTATACATGCCCTTAAATTTAACTTGCATGTTCTTCATTTTCTAGGTAAAGAGAGGTCCGTTTGGCTCTTCCTAATGCAACCATTTGATTTCGCCTTCTGTTATCTGCCCACAAGCAACAATAGGCAGAGTTGCCAATGTTTAAAAACTTTTTAAAGTGGTTTGGAACTAGTTTTACTAAAATCCTACTTAAACATGCTTACTCATAAATAAATCCACTTCACTGAAATTTTAGCAGGTGATGTTATCTGATAAGTGGCTTTTAATTTCAGTTTTAAGAGTGCAACGGTTTTTTGATGGCAATGGTTAAGCCATATATAACCTGTTTCCCCAAAAATAAGACCAGGTCTTAAATTAATTTTTGCTCCAAAAAACACATTAGGGCTTATTTTCAGGGGATGTTTTATTTTTTCATGTACAAAAATTTACATTTATTCAAATGCAGTCATGTCACCTTCTGTTTGCTGCACAATGGTGGAGGGCGGGGTTTCATTTAACTAGGGCATATTTTAGGGATAGGGCTTATATTACAAGCATCCTGAAAAAACCTACTAGGGCTTATTTTCAGGTTAGGTCTTATTTCTGGGGAAACAGTATGTGTTGATGAGCTTTGCAGTACTATTCAATTCATGGTAGTCAGAAATCAATCCTATTGTGTATAATTAACAGCTCAGTAAAATAGTTTGTTATACTTTCCTCTTTTCCTTAGGATAGGCACAGAAGCATAAGCTGAAGACTTCTTTTTTGCAGTGCATGGACGGAAAGCCAATGCGCAGGTAAGATGGAGAAAGAGAAATTATTTAGTTCATTTCAATCATTATTCCAAAACATTATTTGTATTAATCATAGGCTGAAATCCTGTTGTGTAGTTACAGTGAAAGGCATACTTTTTTAAGCAGTGATTTGCAGTAAACTCAGTTTCTTTACTGCAGTGCAAAAGGCAAACATTTAAAATAGAAACATTCTAAGCTGAGTCACTTATTCCAGCCGTAAGAACAGAATGGATCTCACAAAAGTCTAGTACTATTGTCCACATAAAAGTTTAAAGTGTTCTTTATTATAGCAGTATAAATGGTGGGGAAGGGATTATCTTGTTGCTGCCATTGTTAAACAACTGGCCCCAGAAATCCTTGGCAAATCATTCAGATTTCTAGCAGTTGACTTTCAGCCTATCCCCAATTTAGGATTCAAAAAGCTAGAAGAGTTTCTATGGGAATAAAAATAAAATTAAAAAAACAGCTATATGATAAAAAAGGATAAATCAATTTACCAAGTTGGCTACTACTCATTTGTAATTTTTTTTCTAGGTTTACTGATATATTCACTGTGGCTGGAATATATTATATTCTGCCAGCAGTCTCCAGATGTAAAGAACCTGTTTAAGCTATTGGGTCTTCTGCTTGCACAAGAAATTATTAGATATTTCCTTGGGCAAGCAGCTCCACAGATGTTGCATGTTCATACTGTTTGTACACAGACTACTGCATGAGTAGAATACTTGTAGAAAAACCTGACAATTTGTGTAACAATTGAGCTCCTTTATAACTGGTTATTATTTTGTTGGTTTTATTTTCCTTTTCAAAGGGATTCTTTATTTCAAAGCTTGTCTGTGGTCCAAATTATGTTTCCAGCTTTTGTGGCCTACTGCCTTTGTCCTTTGAAAAAAGATCTGTATAAACAAACATGCCACTCATTGACATTTTTGCTGATCTGTTCTTGAATGATTTTGATCAACAGCCTTCGCAGGAAAAGTTGTTTGGACCTTACTGCTCCTGTTTTATTTCTTGTTGAAATTTTTATATTCTTCAATTCATAAGAGATAATCTGAACGATAAGCGATACAGTATGGAGGTAGTACTATATAATAAAATGAGAGATGAACACTGACCAGTATTTTAAGAAAACGACAAAACCATGTGTTTGGGTTACAGATGGAGTATGGACTTTTTTTCTTTTTTTCTGAGCAAGTCCCCCCACCACCACATTTGGTAGTAGTTTACTGACTTTACATCTTTTGGTATCTCTCCCCACCCCCAACCGTTATCTCACCGGAATATTCCTCTTCTAGGTGCACCAGTAATCGAGCAGGTGAAACAGGAATGGACGTAACGAGTCGATGCACTCTTGGGGATCCCAACAAACTGCCAGAAGGAGTGCCACAGCCTGCTCGCATGCCTTACGTCTCTGACAAGCACCCTCGACAAACACTAGAGGTTATCAACTTGTTGCGGAAGCACCGAGAGCTATGTGACGTGGTGCTGGTGGTGGGGGCCAAGAAGATCTATGCCCATCGGGTGATCCTATCAGCCTGCAGCCCCTACTTCAGAGCAATGTTCACAGGGGAGCTTGCAGAGAGCCGACAAACAGAGGTCGTGATAAGAGACATTGATGAAAGGGCTATGGAGCTGCTGATTGACTTTGCATACACTTCACAAATCACAGTAGAAGAGGGTAATGTCCAGACCTTACTGCCAGCTGCCTGCCTCCTTCAGTTAGCTGAGATCCAGGAAGCCTGCTGTGAGTTCTTGAAAAGACAGTTGGACCCCTCCAATTGCCTCGGAATTCGAGCATTTGCTGATACCCATTCCTGCCGCGAACTTCTGAGAATTGCTGACAAATTCACTCAACATAATTTTCAAGAGGTGAGTGGCCCAGTTTTAAGTCCTGGACTTGCATGCAGTAGAGTGAAACAGTAATGTGAACTATGTCACTGCATGTGGAGGTATACATTTGTGGGGACTACTCTGCATTAAGCAAGAAAAAAAATCTTAGAAAAACAAGGGTAAATGTTTATTTAAAGACTTTTTTTTTTACATTGGGAAGAAATTATATTATTTCATGTCCAGTTGAAGTACAGCCCAAGATTCAAGTCTCCTTGTAGACTTGTAGCCATTTGGTTTATGCTTTGTGGATTTCTAATTTCAATACTGCGTAAATAGATTAAGTAGGTTCTAACTTTTAAGTGAAGTTTTATCATGTCATTCTCATTCACGTGTTGACCAAACTTGATATGCCTTTAGATTTAGAACACCCATACAGTGGGGTCTTGACTTGAGAACTTAATCCGTATTGGAAGGCGGTTCTCAAGTCAAAAAGTTCTCAGGTCAAATCTGCATTTCCCATAGGAATGCATTGAAAACCATTTGATCCGTATCTGCTCTTTTCCGTCCATAGAAACTAATGGGAAGCTGCTATTCTGCCTTCGACCACTAGAGGGGGATATTTTGTTTCCTTTTTTTTCAGGTCAAGAAAGGTTCAGGGAAGGCAGGGAAAATACAGTCCAGGCAGTACAGTACCAGGCAGTCCGAAGACTGTCTCCCAATCCACTCTCTAAACGCTGGGAGGAGTGAGGAAGCAGACAGGCACCCTTTTCACTGGCCAACAGTTAACGGAAAGTTATATTATAACTATAGCTGCTTTTCCTTTCTGACTGGTATTAGCTATGCATCATTGAAACACCACAAAAGCATTCTAGCTGAGAAAAGGTAGAGATCATTGCTTTTATTTCAGGGTTCTTTATTTTGCTTATCTAAGATAGTGTACAGAGCTGTACACCACCTTCACTGATTGCTGCCTTGTCGTGGCAATTTCCTATGAGAGTGGTTCTTAAGTCAAAATGTTCTTAACTCAAGCCGTTCTTAAGTCAAGACCCCACTGTATTATAACTATAGCTGCTTTTCCTTTCTGACTGGTATTAGCTATGCATCATTGAAACACCACAAAAGCATTCTAGCTGAGAAAAGTTACAGATCATTGCTTTTATTTCAGGGTTCTTTATTTTGCTGCCCCTCAGGTCGGAAGGCGTCCAATATGCTACTGAGGAAAAGCAGAGGACAAGTACAAATAGCTCTAGAGCTAATGAAGTGGTTGGGGCAAAGCTGAAAGGATGCTCAGCTGTGGGCGTGCCTTGAAGTGAAAGGAAATCCGATGCTGCCAAAAAGAATACTGCATAGGAACCTGGAATGTAAGATCTGTGAACCTTGGTAAGCTGGATGTGATCAAATAGGAGATGTCAAGAATAGACATTGACATCTTGGGTGTCAGTGAACTAAAATGGACAAGAATGGGTGAATTCAATTCAGACAATTATCATATCTACTATTGTGGGCAAGAGTCCCATAGAAGAAATGGAGTAGCCCTCATAGTCAACAAAAGAGTGGGAAAAGCTGTACTGCGATACAGTCTCAAAAATGATAGAATCATTTCAGTACAAATTCAAGGCAGACCTTTCAGCATCACAGTAATCCACGTTTATGCACCAACCACCAATGTTGAAGAGGCTGAAATTGACCAATTCTATGAAGACTTACAACACCTTCCAGAACTGACACCAAAGAAAGATGTTCTTGTCATCATAGGGGATTGGAAAGCTAAAGTAGGGAGTCAAGAGATAAAAGGAACAACAGGAAAGTTTGGTCTTGGAGTTCAGAACAAAGTAGGGCAAAGGCTAATAGAGTTTTGACAAGAGAACAAGCTGGTTATCACAAACACTCTTTTCCAGCAACACAAGAGGCGACTCTACACATGGACATCAACAGATGGGCAATACCGAAATCAG